TATATATATATCATATCATATCATATCATATCATATAATTGCAATGTGTCCTGCATGCTGTTTTGTTATCATTTTTATCAGTATTATTATATTACCATTGGTATAGTAATAAATTTATTTGTATTATTATCATCATCTTCATTATCATCATCATCATTATCATCGTCGTCATCATCATCAGCAGCAGCAGCAACAGCTGCAGCAGCAGCAGCATTAATATTATCATTATTATTACTTTATTGGTATCATTATTACTTTATTGTTATCATTGTTATTGTCGTTCTCAGAGAAAATCCCGTCAGACGCCACCTTCATGGGCACGCAGTATTTCTCTTACAACCTGTCGTCCCGCGGTGACGTCATGGTAGACCAGGACCGCGTCCGGCTGGACTTCCGGACGAAACAGGCCAATAGCTTGCTCTTCTACACGGGTACGTCGTCAGTGGCTACTTCTGATTTGGGATACGGAGGGTAGGGTGGTGGAGTGGGGGGGGGGGGGCAGATTTTTTGGGTTAGTTATCAGTTGTGGATTTTTGTGGGTTTTTTATTGGGATGGGGAGAAGGATGTAGGTTGTCCTAATGGTTGTCTTTTGTTTCTGTCCTTCAGACTTGGTTTTGAGGTTTCTTTTATTTTTTTTATTTTTTTTTTGGAGGAGGGGTTGCTTTTGTTTTTCTTTTGTTTTGTTTTTTGTTTCTTTGTTTGTTGTTGTTGGGGGGGTTGTTGTTTTTGTTTTGTTTCCGCTAGGAGTTTTTTGTTGTTGTTGTTGTTGTTGTTGTTGTTGTTGTTGTTGTTGTTGTTGTAGTTGCGTGGACAAAAAGCCTTGTGTCGTTTCTAGCGACTGGTGGGAAGGAGGGTGTGGAAAGCAGTGTCCTTTGGGGCGTATCCGCCTTTTTTTGCTGCCTCAGAACTCAGTTATGTCTGGTCATTATATTGTCATCTCATGTGTATTCTCTTAAAAGTTTTACCTATGTCACCGCCCTCTTGGACAGCAACTAACAAGATAACCGGTGGGAGTGTTGTAGGTAATAGTCGCTCTGTGTGTTTTCCTCCTTTTTCTTTTCTGAAAGCTAATTTACAATTTTTTCCCAGCGTCATACTAAGTTAACTTGTATTTTAAGTGATCGCTTGCGGAACTGAGATGAGGAGAATCTACTCTCGAATATCATACAGAATATTTTTGAACTCGTATGCTTGAGAACTTTACATGGGTTTCTCTGTCACAAACACAGTATAAGACCCAGATGCCACTCCTTTCAAGCAAACTGTGGTTAAACGTTTTAAACTCATATCATACTATTATTGTCTTGAAATCAGATCTTGAATTAATGGCCAAGTATAATACAGCGACAATCATAGCTGATAGAAACCTGTAAATTCTTTGCCATATCGACAGGCCGAAGGGCTAGAACCCATTAAATTATGACCACTGGATCGGAAAATAATTAAAGCATGCCCAAGGATGAATATCGGTTCATGTCACTCCTCAGGAAACTCCAAGGACTACATGACGGTTGGCCTCATGGACGGGGCGGTGTTTCTGACCATCAACCTGGGCTCAGGCATGTACCAGGCCGAGATACGGCCCAGTGGGACGCGCTTCGATGACAACCGCTGGCACCAGCTGCTGATACAACGAGAGGCCCGGGAGGTAAGGCGCATAACTTTTCGGTACAGATTTTCAACATGTTTTATGGTTAGGTTTGTCTCCTAGTGCTGCTATTACTGCATTCCCAAGCTGAACAGTCCACACCCTTCAATATGTTACCCCAGTTTTTGACGCATAATGCCATTAAAATTGTATAGATTATTCCTGTTACGATTTCTCTCAACAACTATTTAATTTTGTCGCTGTCCCACAAAGCAAACTGTCTTGACTGTTATTGCGTTTGCGGCTACTTCTCATAGCTAAAAATCAACGGAACCCTCTAACAAAGTCAGTGTCGGAATCAATGTATATAACCGTTTGGGGGGGGGGGGGAGTGCTCATGCCCTCAAGCTCTGTACATACATTTGAAGAGAAATGCAAAACTCTGATTGTTCCAAGAAGATGAGGCAATTGACTGTAAACAAGTACGATGCAAAGTCTTAGTTTAGTACCTTTGTAAATATTATGAAAAGGTTTTGTCTTGTTGTGTTACGTTGTCTACGTTCTTGTAGTTGTTGTTGTTGTTGTTGTTGTTGTTTTCAAGGCTATTTGTTCCGAGAGAAGCCGATTGCTTCTAGGATTTGCTGCCAAACGCTCTGGGAAAGACTGAAGTCTCAGCAAAAATCTCACTGTCGTTTTCACTGGCGAGGAGCTACCTATAGCCACTTCTATCTGTACGTGCGCTGACACAGGACCTGGCCTGTCATCTAAAAGACAAGGTCGTTGATTTATTGCTATTTTTGTAACGAAGAAAGTGGAAAATGTTAAACTCCGCTGGCTTGTGTTAAATTATGTTATCTCAGAAACCATCAATGTAATCCGGCTTAGAGCCATAAGTCTTTTGGCCGCAGCTCAGAGTTCCAGCTTCCCAGAGATTACCCCCACTCCATATCCCCCTCCCCTCCCATATTTTTTTCATCCCTCGACCTTCACCCTGCTTCCATCTCCCCCAGGCTCCATCCTCGCTCCCCCTTCCCCTGTTCCCCATTCTGTTCACCCTGTCTATTCTCGTTCTTCATATGATCGTAGATACCTCCGATGTTTTGATCAGTATTTAGATTTGAACCTCCAGCACTTGCTCTAGAGCTTCTTCTGTCACTGGACTCCATTTATTTTGTACATTTTATATCAGTGCAATTTGTAGGCCTTTGAGGGTTTTCTTTTCACCAAGCAACCCATTCAGCGACAGCCCATTCCACGACAGGTTTTCGTTGTGTGTGTTCGTTGTTGTTTTTTTATTATTAGTTATTAACGTTGAGTAATGGCAAGGGAAAGAACCCCGTATTTATATAGAGAAAAAAACATCCGAACGAAGGGCTTCGTAATATGGACGCCAACAAACGTTCAGCGGTAGCAATACATTGTGGTTTTAGAGAAATGAGGTTTTGCTTTTTTAGCCCACTCTCGGTTTAGTTAATGTATATATTTGTGGGGTAAGCGGTTTTCCCAAGGTTATTTATTCGACACATTAGCAAGTTTCTTTTTCAGCTACGGAGCAGGGAATATGAGTAGAGTGCAAGGTCAAATCTTCGATATCGCTGAGAATATGAGGAAGGGGGAGGGTGGGTTGTTGGGTTTTTTAGCATGGAGGGGGGTGTACATGTATGAATCTAATGCTTTTCAGTAATCTCTGACAGGAAACATAAGAAGACATTTGATATTGAACATTACGCGTTATTTTGAACTCGCGATTTCTTTCTACTGATGAGTATTGCATTTCGCTTTTATTGGTGAGCGAAAAATGTTGAATGTATGTATTTTTACCCACCGATGCTGGCAAGTACGTGTAAATATAAATACCTCGGTGAAATGGGTATTCCAATTTACATGCAAGTGAGTGAAAAGGATTTTCTCTTTTCGTAGTGTTAGAAAAGACAACAGCAGGAAAGGTTTGCATCAAAAGGGGGGACAATGTTTCTTTTTTATGTGGAGGGCGTAGTTTTGATGAGAGAGAAATATGTATAGCATCTTTTATAAAGGTTGTCCCAGTTGGAGATCAGATTTTTTTTTTAATCTCTACCAGAATTCAAGCATTCACTTCCTGTTCCATGAACAAACATTTCTCGTCATTTTGAATCTGTCTTTGTGATTACATGGGGAACATGGAAAACGAGAGTACCTCCACACGTCTGTTGTTCGCATGTTTTATTACGGAGTTAATAATAGTTGAGTTTAAAGAAAACCATAGCATCATAATAGTACTACCATAAAAACGAGTTGTAGAAACAATTTACACCTAAATAGTGAACTAACAGACTTGAACTAAGTATTTGAACTTTATATGTTTTACTTCATTCACCTTTCATGAAGGCCTCGCTTTGTGGGTTGTTCTTTGAGTTCTGCGTACACGCATAGTTTTGTGTAATACAAGTTATTGATGATATTTTGATACATCCGAAATTTTTTTCAATGTTTTTTCACCCTGAGTTTACGTTTATACATTTATTTTTCAATATCATTTCATGCGTAGAAAAGCTGGTATTTATTTCATTAACAAATCTCATACATGCATGTTGCAGATTTTTCCCCTTATTTTGATATTTCATCGGTGCAAAATGTTATATCCATATCCATGTTCATGTTTCACCTATTGCAATAGTTGTTTTATCTAGCTTTTGCCATGAATCACTCTTCATATTACAATAGCAACGCTTCGAGTTTGTTCAAAAATATAATCAGTTTTTTCAAAAATAGGGGAAAAAACGTCACAATCATTGCTATTCAGTCATTAAAGGAAGTGTATGATCCAATAACAATGGGGAAAAAGAACCTTAGAAATATGTCCGTGTATCTCAACGTATGCCTTGCACATATGTGTACCATGTTTATGGACAAAACTTATGACCTCATTGCTCCTTTATACTCTCAGAACTTTGTCATTCACGATTCATTGGTCGGATTCCAACAGATCGTAAACAATTTCACCCTCACCATAACATTATATTATTGAACAGACTTTCTAGAGTAGTTCACACAAATTGCAATCATGTTCGACATTGTCTCGTGTATTGCTAGCAGATCACTTTCCTTTTTAGAAATGTTCCACTGAAAAGAGGGTATTGAAAGAATCCAAATTTGCCGTAGCACGTTCGAACACATTGGTCCTCCAGATAGGGCATGGTTGATCCATAACGGTAGAACAACAATAATACTGATGCACGTCAAATTGCACCATAAGTAATGGCAGAGAAAATGGAGAACAAAGAATGACGTCACAAATGCACAATAACGTTCTTTGCCTGCGTAAAAAAAGTCAAAAAATTTTGTGACTTTTTTGGGTGTTTTCTACCAATTTTTTTTTCGTCGTATCCTTTGTCTAGCTTCCTAGGGACGCAGGTGTTTGTTTTGTAAGTAATATTCTGCAATTTGCATGCTCTGCCTGTGTGTTATCTCCTTCGTCTATCTATCCATCCATCCATCTATCTATCTATCTATCTGTCTATGCATCTATCTACTTGTTATCTGTTGGTATGTCTTTCTGTGTGTGAATCTCTCTCTCTCTCTCTCTCTCTCTCTCTCTCTCTCTCTCTCTCTCTCTCTATGAGTTAATCTCTGTTCATCTGTTTGTTGTTCAAGTTTCACACGTTTGTATATAATGAGAGTGCTGTTTATCGCTTTGGATGAGTTTGGTTATCAGTGTGGATTTTGGTGGATTTTGTGTTCTGTTGACTTACATGTTTACATTTATACTGGTGCACGCATAACTTGGGCGCATGTGTGCTGAAATGGCATGCTTTCATTTTTACTGTATTTTGGCTTTTTTGGATGCAAACTTTGCCAGATTGCCTTGCACCTCTTTTGCGCTGTAGCGTAGGCTTAGAGCTGCAGTCTGTTCTCCTATTCGATGGTAAATGGCTTTGGGCATTGGGTACTTTTAAGAAAGGGAAATATTCTGCCCGCAGTGCCTCTTTTTTCTATCTTTCTTTGAGATTGCAGCAACAAGCAAAAGTTGCCAAACTGTGCTAAGATCAACTGTAAGTACATGATAGTAATGTTCTGTAGGCAAGATAATGCAGTGTGGGGAATTAAACAGTGACAGACTTATTTGAAATACCTGAAAGTTTTTTGGTCAAATATTACACTTCATTTAAAAACAAATCGTGTACTTTAAAAAGTTCATTGAACTTCTCTTTTGATGTACCTTCATCTTTGAGTATAACACTGGGGAGGAGGGGGGGGGTATAATGGGCCTTGATGCACAAAAATGTATCACGTCGCTTTGAAATCGGATGCTCGTCAAAATAATGAAATAAAAAAACCCAAACATTTTCCACCATTATAGCGATTCTTATCTGATGTTTGGTTTTTTGGCTCAACACCTTTTGTGTCCATTTAAAAACACATCTCTGTATCGATTTTACCGAAAAACATTGCTCAACGGCACTCAAAAAATATAAATTTGCAGTTTTCGAGTACAATGAAGCTTTGGAAGTCACCAAACCATTTTTTCACTATTGTTCACTTCTTGCACCAGGCGACCTTCGATTGCAATACATTTTTATTTAGACCTCCAATCCGTATAGATGGGTATTTTACAAATCACAAAGCTTAAAGATGATATTAATGCCCAAAATAGACGAGCTTCTGTTTCCACCGTGTTGTGACACAAATAAATAAAAGATAAAGTAATGTTTTGAAGATTTTTTTCCACATTTGATACTCGAAACACCCTACATTTCTGTTGCACTGTTTTGGTGGAAGAGAGAAGGGGGGGGGCGTAAAAAAGAAGAGGGCATATTCGACGTAATTTAAACCCTATCCGTTTTTAACCTGGTATCGTTGCTTTTCAAAAGAATTTTGAAGAAATTCAGAAAGAAATTTGCACGGTGCTCTGTAGAGTCGGGATTTGGTACGGAAAACAGGTGACCATAAATGTAATGAGCTCAAAATGTTGCTTTCCATGTTTATAGGGCTATTGAATCATGCACTTTCTGTACTCTCAAGCGAATAGACGTTCTGACTACTTTTATATGGCCTGTAGAGCTGAAATGCTTATGTAGGAAGCATTTTCCGCACACGCTTTGAAATTTGCTTTTTGCATTGCATGATTATTCCATCTTTTCCAAATGTGAAATTACATCCATTCTTACTTCTTCAAACTGATCGTTCGTTTCATCCTTCGTACGATTTTTCTGGATGGTTTTAAGTTGCTTCTTTTGGCTTTGTGTTCATTCTTTTCCCACTCTGCAAGGATGATTTAGGATTAAGATAATATAATGCGTGCCTTTATTTGACAGCCTGGGACTTTTTGTTTGTAATGGATATTTATATCTCTTTTGTGGTATCCATCGGTTTGTTGTATATAATGTTGTAGTTAACTGTACAGGTTGCTTTCTTTTTGAAAGAACACAAACTACCTGACGCACAGACGAATAGACAGACAAAAAATGTGATAGTGAAACCTTGTGGAAAAAAGAGAGCAGATATGCACAAGATGGGGACCAGGAAAATAGTTGGTTGTTCATGTCAAGTCCAGTTGTTTTGTTGTTTTTTTATTTTTGTTTGTTTATTTTTGAATTATTTTTTTTTTATTAAGTCTACATGTATTAGGGGGGTTAATTATTATAATCAACAACATCCCCCTCCTCCCACGATATTCTTGAATGTGAAGCAGATCTCAAAGAAATTATATTAACACTGCACAAAGAAAAGGACACGAGATTGACCACGCTTAGTTTGTGTATGTTTGCCTTAGTAGGATGGGGTCAGTGCTGTGTAGCGGTCACAATGCCTGTCCCTGCCCAAGTCTTGATCTTTGCAGAACACTGTCGACCTGGAGTTTTGATAGATCTTTGTCCGGTCCCATCGATGATAATGGCAAACCTGAGACATTTGTATTGCTTCGTCTTTAGCCCGAGTCTGTTGGACACAGCTCTTGGGATATATCAACCCCTTTTGAGACTAAAGGGCTTATTTATAGGATTGCTTGTGTTGCCGTCAATGGCAATGACTGGAAGATAATGAGACACGTTCACTAATTCTTTACCTTGTTCGCTAGTGTTGGGGGATGTTATGTTTTGTTCTTCAGTTAGCAAAGAGCTTCTCTTATTACAGTTGTAGAATGTGGCATGTTTTCTAGGTCGATTTCTCATCACTGTAGTAAAGCATAAGGCGCAGATTTAGAATACTCGATTTTTGCTGTGAATGTGTGAATCACATGAAATCCTCTATTTCAAGGGGTTCTATGTAATTCTTGATTTTGCATGGCATTGCATCTTGAACCAAGCTCCGATTATTTCTAAACTCCATAATCTTCAACCAATGTAAAGGTAACCTTTCCCATATGTGGGACTAAATTTTATTATAACAAGTTTTTCCTTGATAAACTGCTTCCGAATATTCCTTATGTAACTGATTCGTAACTGTGACATGAATAGGATCTTGATATACTTAAAGTCAGATACAGTGTTTGTTGACTTTTCCAGTTTTATTTTTTTATTTTGTTGTAATTTATCAAATGTTTTCCATTCCACGAGTATAAGAGAACGTTCCCAAAACCATTAGTTATATAGCTGTGTAAGCTGCTTTCGTTGGGAACATTATCGAGAGCTTAGTGACCAGAAATTCTTTTCATATCAAATTGTGTACCGCATCTTTTCTATTTGCAGAAGAAAAAACTAATAATATGTCATTTATATAAGTGTAATATCCCCTTTAGTTGTTTACTAACATAGATTCCTTCGTACGGTGAGAACTGATTCTAATGACTTGTTGTAGAGAGAAATGTGAGCACTAACCACAACTATTGTGTGCGCACAGAACGGTTCCATGTTCTCTTCGTTCTTTCTTTGCTGTAGTCTTTGTCCAATTAAAATCATTCTGAGTACCAGATTAACTATTTGAACTGAATATTCTAAATATTTCGAAAGTGATATTTTTCCCCTTCGCCTTTCTGAGGTACTGGAATATTTCTCAATGACTTTTATACTTTAAAAACTCCATCAGACTTCGATGAAAGAATAACAGATCTGATAGTGTTGTGGTAGATTGATTAACTAGCTTTTCTATTTCATAATGACCATGCGTTGACAAAGCCCATCTTTACTGATTTTCATGTCATGGAGACTTCACAAATTGTAAAAACCAAAAGAAGCTGTTTAATTATTTTTTTCAAATAATCATTAGGTTTTTAAAAGTTTTAATGACATGAAATGTGTAGGGAACTGCCAAATACGACTAGGAACTTGTGTAAAATTAACATCAACCAAAGGTAGTTTGTTGTTCGACAGCCACTTTGTCTTATGTTGGGTAAGGGTAGTGTACACAACGAGATAACTTGTAATGAAAGTTTGGGTTTTGGGGTTTGGGGATTTTGATGGCGGCTTTATCAGACAAAGGGGACAAATAATAATATGATTTGTAGTGGCACGTTTTATAAAAATCAATTAGAAAGACCCTGTTATCAGAGAAATATCAATAGGAAATAATGTTGTCTCTGCAGGTGACTATGGAGTTGGACGGTATGTACAGGAAACAGGGGAGCATCACAGGAAAGTTCATTCGCCTGTCTAGTAACCTTCTGTACGTCGCCGGGAGTCCCAACACAGAGACATTGCCGGGCTCAAGGGTCAGAACCAATTTCAAAGGATGTCTAAGAAAGGTAATTCTTTCTCTTATTTTTTTAAATATTTTTTTTGGTAAGTGTTTTACGGCGCTCTCAAATGCATACTGTGATTTGAGCGCGCAGGACACTTTGGTAGAAATTATTTTTAATGTATTCAATTTTGCCCGGGTGGCGACCAAAGCCTACTCCTATCGATTTTAGGACCACCAACGGGTTTTTTAACGTGTACAACTCGCCCACGGGATCTCCGAGATTGTTTCGTAGGTGTTCGATCTTACTTATCCCAAGATCAGGGATGTGGCTGAAAAATAGCAGTGTGAAGGAGCCAAGGAGTGGCAGTAGTAAGGCAACAAAGAGTCAGCGGTCCAGAGGAGGGAGCAGGGGGGGGGGGGTAGAAAATGAAGACGAAAGCAGACGACAGAACATGATCAGAGCACTGAAAGGAGGTGAAAAGAAAATATTTTTTTAGAGAAGAAAATTTTCCCGTCGCTGTCAGGATTCGAACCTGGGATCTATGGAATGAGAGGCGAACACCGTAACCTCTAGACCACCGGAGCCCCGAGCCTTTCTCTTCTTGTGAATGCATGAAAAGTGTGCAAGTATGGTACTCCCATGTGTGTGCTGTGCCGGTAGGTTAACGCGCGTCGCCGTCACATGCAGAAGAGCTGCGTTTGATTTTCTCATTGGGATAATTTTTAATCGAATATCTTATTTTGCCTCTTGGGACGTTGTTCCCTTCTCAGCACGGGTTGGCTTTGACAGGGAGGCGCTACCCTCATTCCAAGCCAATCAAATCAAATAATTGCTCATCATTTGCTGTATATTTCAGTATGCATATATTTGAATGTCTAATATATTTGAATATCTCACATATATATATATATATATATATATATATATATATATATATGTGATATATATATATACATATATATATAAATATGTGTGTGTGTGTGTGTGTGTGTGTGTGTGTGTGTGTGTGTGTGTGTGTGTGTGTGTATTTATGTATTTGTGTGCCCTATTTATGTATGTATTTACACACCATACTTATGTATGTATATGTAAAATAGATTACGCCTTTATAAACCGAATTTCCCCACGAGGACCGATAAGTTTTTCAAAAAAATAATTCTATGTATTTTCCCGCCCTGAAGGCAGTGCTACTGACTGAAGTTTCTTTAGGCAATTCACAAGGGGGGGGGGGGTGGTATTAACATATTCTTATGCACAGTACAATTGTAAATGGGCTGATTTATCAATGCCAGGCTCATACTGTGCCGGAACAACAAAGGGGAAATTTTTTCATTCCTCATCCTTACTATCATCATTTTCCCTCTACTTCTTTTGTACGTTTGTCGCTCTCTTGTGAACTGCTTTTTCCGGGGTGCCTTGATAGTCGAAGTAGACTTTGTGCTTTTGAGGCTAGAGAGGTGAGCAGAGTAAGCCTGATTCCCCGTTTGGACTTCTCTGTTGACATCCATCCCATGGCACTCATATGACCTTATACAGTTGCGAGCGTCGTAAAACCTTACTAAAACTAAAGAATTTCCCGTCGGGGACCAATAAGTTTTTCAAGAAGTTAATTATTCCCTATTTTTCACCAGGTCCGCTACAGAGCAGACGGTGTCCTGCTCGACCTGACGGACCTAGCACGACGAGAGCACAGCCTGATGCAGGTCACCGGTGACGTCATTTTCGACAAATGCCAGGAGCTGGTTGAGTCCCATCCCGTGACCTTCACCTCGCCGGAGTCTCATCTCACCATCCCGACCTGGAGCAAGCCAGGGTCAGTGTCTGCCTGTATGGGTTATCTTACCATGATGATGATGATGATGATGATGAAGATAATGATGATGATGATGATGATGATGATGATGATGATGATGATGATGATGATGATGATGATGATGATGATGATGATGATCCTCCAGATGGTATCTAAAAATGGCGTATTGGTTTCTAGATCACATTGATTCAATTTTTTAAAAACCTCTTAAGCATCATACTGTCGCTTTCTGGGTTTGGGGCGTCTTGTAGCCCTATACCTGTCCATTTGGGGTTTTTTTGGTGTACCGTCATGGCATACCCGATGCCCATTGGGGAATCGGTTCTCTAATACACACGGGTCGCCCAACTCGGGGTTTGAAAGCTAAACGTGTTTGTTTTTTGATGCCGCGAGTCAGGCGATCGGTTTGTGCCACGTTGGTCGCTTTGCGCCCTCAATCTGGCTAGCCCTGCCTACCAAATCGAACGGAACCGAACGGATGCTGCCAGGGGCCACTGGGTAGCAACAATGTCTTGATTGTTTATATGGTTGACTGAATTATTAGAGTGATTTATTTATACATCAAATTATCTTTCTAATAGGAATCTACTTTTCGATACGTGTTTCAGAATCAGAGGTTCTCTAGCTTTCCAGTTCCGCACTGTGGAGCCTGGGGGTCTCATGATGTACTCTAATGGGGGAAGGGACTCCAAGGATTTCTTTGCTCTGGAGCTACTGGATGGTCATCTCTATTTGGTGCTGGACATGGGCTCTGGGATCCTCAAAGTAAGTTGCACGTTTCACAGGATGGAATGGAGCCATTTGGCTTGTCTCCTTGGTTTTCGTTCAGTAGCAATAATGTGATTGTATAACGCATTTTGTTAAGTCGAGACACGTGTAGGAAATAATGTTTTTAAAATCTTCAGCAATATTAACTTTTCAGTTAGCGTCTTCACTCTAATGATTTTTTCGTCGCAAGAGTATGCCTTTTTTCTGCACATTTACCAGTTGAATGTGTTATGTGGTCAGTTATGATGAAGTTAGGGAGTGAGTGGATAAGAAAGGAACTAAAAGTTAGATACAGAGAAAAATGGGCGCACGACAAACAAGGAGAAAGAGGGGGAGGAGAGAGGGGGACAAATAACAGACAGCTGAACAGACAGTCGGACAGACAGGCAGACAAACAGACAGAGAGACAGACAAACAGACAGACAGACATGCAGCGACAGAGGATGTGTTGTTTGATGCTAAGCGTGTAATCTCTGTATAACAATATTACAACATCTTCGCTAGCTTTCAATCAAACCTTTTACTATTATTACAGATTCAAGCAAGCAAACTTCCGGTGTCGGACGGCAGACCTCATGACGTGTACTTTGAGTTCAAAGGTTACCGGGGCGACATCTCTGTGGATGGACAGAAAGTACCGTTTGCCTCAGGACGAGTCTCCGACCGCTTTGACCTTCACGGCTTTTTCTACGTCGGTGGACTAGGTTCAGAAATCAATGCGTCCTTGTTGCCGCGAGAGTTATGGGCCGTGATGCTGGGCCTCTCTTACGTCGGCTGTCTGCAAGATCTGGTGCTGGACGGAAGCAAAGTAGATCTGCTCGCAGCTGCCAGACTGCAGAATAAATCGGATGTGGCTGGGTATTGTAAGCAGGTACGTTCTCATGACTGGGGGCGGAGGGGGGGGGCTGATTTTTGGCCAGAGGTTGTTGTTGCTGTTTTGTTGTCTTTATGTAGGTGTTTTTCAAATCGTTTCAATGACACTCCCACCTGGTGTCCGCTTTAGCAACTTTTCCCCGATCGGGTGATGATTTGATTTAGGAGATACATTTGTGCATGGAGCGCATCAGGCTTAGTTGTCTCTGTTTCGTTTAGTTTTAGTAAAAGTTTTACGGCACTTGCAACACAATAAGGTCATATAAGTGCCGAAGATTAAAGGTGTTACAAGAAAGTAACAAACACAAACAGAAGGAGGAGAGATATGGACGATAGGTGTCTGATAGGAAAGAAGACGAAAACAACACCAGAGCACCCACCAACAACCAGTTGTCTCTGTGCACTCACAGTCCCATGATTTGACGTAAAACATATTTTGCTGAAAAAACATGCGCTTCTTATTTTTTTATACATCTTTTGTTTTGATTTGTTTTTCCTTGAGAATTTGAAAAGATTTTTTCCCTAATTATCTGTATCAAATAAGATCCCACCCACATAAAAAAAAAATCACGTAAACA